CAAAAAAAAAAAAATAATAATACCTCAAGATGTCTTTGAACTCAGCTTATCTTAATATTTTCAATGTTCTATTTCCCCCAAAATACTTCAGGCAGAGTAATTATAATGCAAATTACAAAATACTTAGAATTGACAACAGAAAAAGAAAAAAAACTTTAATGGGAAATTAACATCCATGTATGGCAAAATTTACCAGTTCTACACTTGTCTCAATTGTTTGAGAAATAAAAGTCACATTCTTATCTGTGACAAATTGCTTGTCACCACCATTTTATGGGCAAGGAATCAATATAAAAATAAAAATCTAAATCTACAAATGTTCATCAAAAAGGAAAGAACCAATTAGCTAATTCCATCAAATCTAAGATGCCATCAATTAAAAATAACTACTATTTTAGGCACCACCAAGAGAGGGAAAATACTGCCAATTAAACTATCACATCATCAATTGAAGATGCTTCCAAATTCAGATATTAAAATGTGTCTTCAAATAACTGATGTGGTATACAAATTTCCTACCTCAGTTCTTACCCAAGTTGAAGAAAGCATCTGAAACTGTAGCATAGTTGTTTTAGGAAAGAATGTAAGAGTCAATAATACAAGAGCAGGGCCGGGGATTTAGCTCAGTGGTTTCGCTGCCTGCTGCGCAAGCACAAGGACCCGAGTTCGATCCCTGGTACTAAAATAATAATAATAATAATAATAATAATAAAAATAATACAAGAGCAGATACTAATATATGAAAATATTGTTTGGTCTTTCTTGAGGTATCCATTTTAGGTAATTTAAGAAACGACTTAAACATACTGTTTGAGTTTAATTGCTTCTATAATCTACAAAAGCTTTAAAATTCTTTTCTCAGATTTTAATAATCATATATCATCAAATTCATTTCCAGGGTAAATGTGAAATTTATAATGATAATAAGCAACCCTTCCTGAAAACTCTGAAAAATGTTACTTAAGCATTATCTCATACACTTCTAGCAAAGATGGGCTTACAACCCAGAAATGGCTGACTCCAAAGTCTATGTTCATTCTACTCCAGAACATCATGCTGACTCCAGAATCCCATTATGTGTGAACTCAACAGAGTATGTACAAAATTTAAGCACATTTCATTTCCTTCCCACTTACCTGGCTGAACACTTAAACCGCTCTAAGAACTGAAGTCTCAAGCTCTCGTGCCCAGGAAGGTCAATCAAGGTTAAACTATTGCCCTGAGGATGGCAGCAATAATACTCAATTAATGTTTCAGTCCACTTCCATGTTCACAAGGTAAACATTTAGTATCAGGTTATAGATACTGGCATCTAATGAATGAATTAAACAAATATTCAATGTAATTAATAACCTAAATGTTGATGGAGCATTTTCCAATAAAACACAAGTCACAATGCAAAAATGGGCACCTGAAATAAAGACACTTCTCAGATGAAGAATTAGAAACAGCAAATAAATATCTGAAAAAAATGTTCAACATCACTGGTCTTTCGTGAAATGCAAATTAAAACAACACTGAGATTCCACCTTCAGAAAGAATGGCTACTATCAAGAATCAACCAATAACAAATGCTGGAGAGGCTGTGGGGAAAAGGAATCCTGCTCCACTGCTAGTGGGAATGTAGACTGATGCGACCACTGTGGAAATCAGTGTGGAGATTTCTGAAAAAACTAAAACTACAGGTCCCACTTGAACCAGCTGTACCTCTTCTTAGTATCTTCTTGAAAGAATTAAAAGCACCATACCACAGCGATATATGCAAACCCATGTTTATAGCAGCCCAGTTTGTAATAACTAAATCATGGAAACAGCTCAAATGCCCATCAACTGACAAGTGGATAAAGATGTGGTTTTTTATATATAATGGAATACTGCTCTGCCATAAAGAAGGATGAGCTTCAGACATTTATAGCTAAATGGATGGACCCTGAGCCCATACTCTTAAGCAAAATAAATCAGACCCACGTGTTTAAATACTGCATTGTTTCTCCGGTATGAGAAACTGAAAGTGGAAATAAGGACTGAAATGTATAATGAGTGTTGGGAAATGGGAAGAAAGTGTTCAAATAGGAAAGGGAACAAAGGAGGAAGGAGACAGAAAGGAAGAAAGGGACAAGAAAAAAATAAATAAAAGGAAAAAATGGAAACAAAGCTTTTGTAGACAGGGAGAGGAGGGGTTTGAGGGGGAAAGAGGAAAGAATAAAACAAATTCATTAAAAAAAATTTTTAAAGTATAATAAAACACTGGTCAAAGATGGGAATGTAGCTTGGTTGGCAGAGTACTTATTGAACATGCATGAGGCTCTGGGTTCAATCTTCAGCACTGGAAGTATTGATAATTATAAATAAAACACTAGTGGAAGGTCTGGGGATACAGACAGTGAGTAAACACGGTTCCTGACCTAACATAAATCATGAGAAAGATGAATCCAATGTAAAATTACTTATAAATTTCCAACTTTGATAAATGTTCTTAGGGTACTGAGAAACATGTCTCTGGGGAAGTCAGGGAAAAGTGGTCTCTGTGAGGCTTGGAAAATATATATCAGTCTGAGTAAAGACAAAAACATGTAAAAAAGGTGACAAATATTTTAAAAACTGAAATAAGGGGCCAGGGATTTACCTCAGTGGTTTCACTGCCTGCTGCGCAAGCACAAAGACCCGAGTTCGATCCCCAGTACCAGAAAAAAAAACCACAACTGAAATAAGAACTTAACAATTGATAGCATATGTTGCCATTACTGGGATCCTCAATTCTGGAAAGAACTCTTTCATCATTTTTACCCTTAATTTAATTTCTAAATATCTGTCTACCAGACACACCGTGTATTTGTTCCAAATCTGTCAATATTTTGTATCAGTTATGTCTGGGATGTGTGTGCACGTGTGTGTGTGTGTGTGTGTCCACGCACACTTTCCCCAGATTGAACCCAGGGTTGCTCTACCACTGAGCTACATTCCTAGACCTTTTTGTTTTGAGACAGGATCTAAGTTGCCCAAGCTGGCCTTGAAATCATGATCCTCCTGCCTTGGCCTATCAAGTAGCTGGGATTACAGGTGTACGGCACCATGCCTGGCAGTGCCAATTCTTAATCATCTGGGGTTTTTTTCTTAATCATCTATTGAGGGAACCCATTATGGATCCTCGTAAGTCCAATTAGCCACTCTAGACCTTCACTCTTGACTTTATGATTATTGTACAAGTGGCTGAACTCAATGAAGAGACTCAGATGTGACTCTGGTACATGTATCAGACCCATTCATTACTTCTCATCTCAGGTTTACCTTACAGCCCACCATGATCATGGTTCAGCAGAAGGAAATCAGTATCATGTACAAATTTGATACAGTTACACAACTGGATTATGACCTTTCAAATACCATAGCCAGTTCTTTGTAGACAAATATAAATGCCTATTAGCCTATTGTTTAAATATTGCTTAGTGTCTGGAGACCCCAAGTTGGGACTTATACTCCATTTCAAAAGCAGCTCTGCACCTTGCAGTATTAGCAAATTAGAAAATATATAACTAGGTAAGGGTAAGACAGGGAGTGGTGAAAGAAGAAAGCAAAGTTCTGTCTATTCAATAAAAATATAATACAAGCCACATATATTTTAAATTTCCTAGTAACTGTATTAAAAAAATTAAGTAAAATGAATTTTAACAAGTTACTTAATCCAATATATCCAAAATATTAATGTTTAATAAGACATTATTAATAATATTTTATGTCCTTTTTTTCCTATCATATCTTCAAAATCTGGTGGGTACTTTGCACTTATAACACCGTTCTAGTTGGACATGTCATATCTCAGATGTTTAATAGTCACACATGACCAATGGTTACTGTACTGTAATATACAGGTCTAATGTATATCCTGGAATACTCAACTTAAAATATCTGCTACAGGGGCCGGGGATTTAGCTCAGTGGTTCTGCTGCCTGCCTCGCAAGCATAAGGTCCCATGTTCGATCCCCAGTACCAAAAAAAAAAAAATCTACTACACAGACTCTCAAAATTAATGATCTCCCAAATGAGAAATTTCAAAATCCAAATCTTTGGAAGTTTAAAAAAGTCTAGGCCATAAAAAAAAGTAACTTAATGAAAACAAAAACAAAAAATAATCTCTTAAGGGGCTGGGGATTTACCTCAGTGGCACCACACCTGCCTGGCAAGCGGCAAGCGCCAGGTCCTGAGTTCGATCCCCAGTACCACATATAAATAAATACATAAATAAATAAATAAATCTCTAAGGTATTTAAATGGATATTCCTTTATCCTTGCTTATGATATTTAATTTAAGAGGCATCAGGAAGAGGAAGGCACAAGAAAAAGGGAAAGTCTTTTAGATCATAGTTTTAATTCATCCTTCCATCTATCCTTTCACCCCTACAATCAGCCACCCATCCCATACTCTATTCACTCACTAAAACTCATAGAACATTATAAATGGCTTTGTAGTCAAGTGTCTACACTCTCGTGCTACACTTGATCTTAGGCAAAAGGCCAAGAAGCAATTACACTCTTGTGCTATACAGGTACATAAAAAGGCTTTTTCATGATACTTTATGGGTATTTTTTTTGGTACCGGGGATCAAACTCAGGACCTTGTGCTTGCGAGGCAGGTGGAAGCTCCACTGAGCTAAATCCCCAGCCCCTTTTATGGGTATTTTTGAAATATAATCATATATACTCTTTACATCACCCATCGCAACACTGTAAGAGTAATTAATACAAACTAAGCAAACAAAACTAAGTATTAATAGATTTCTAATTAAATAAAAATTTAATTGCATGCTACAGCTACACAATGGAATACTACATAATTCATAAATCAAGCAGATAGTACTATAAATGTAGGAGGAAAAAAAAGCCAACTGTTATCAGCCATGTTGTTAGATGAAAAAATAACAGGCAGAACAGTGTTTAAAAAGAAAAATTAAGGACCAGGGATTTAGCTCAGTGGTTCTGCCACCTGCCTCGCAAGCGCAAGGTCCCAAGTTCAATCCCTGGTACCAAAAAAAAAAAAGAAAAATTAAAGGATATGATACATATGTGTATGCATAGAAAATTTAGAAAATTATACACAAAAAATTAAGTTAATGCTTCTGAGGAAAGGACTAAGTGGAGACACAGGAAAACAAATTACTTTCCACCAAATTTTTGTCTTATACACATATAAACCTATTTAAAACATAAAAGAAAATAAAGAGGCTTAATGCTGATTCTGAAGAATTCATAGTAAAGTTAAAAAGACAAAATATAAAAGTAAAATGTGATAAAATGCTATTGTTTATAAATTATAACAAGGAAAAGGTACACATAATTAAATCTGCTGCATGTATTATCAAGAACAGAATTTGTCACAGAGTATGTTCATAAAGATAAAGCTAAAAATGATGCCTAAAACCTCAGTAATTCATTCTAGAAATATTCTTTCTTGACATGCTGCATTAAGTAGGAGTGCCAGACTCCAACCCTCCAGGAACATCTTACCCTGTTATTGTTGACTCTATACACAGCAGAGCTGTCAGTAATAGAAGTCTGCGTGTCTCTGTAATGGCCTGTTAACAACTGTAAAAAACAAGATGGAAGGGATCAGAGTACACATATTACAGTAAGAGCAAATCTGATTTGAATACTAATGTTCTAAGTCTCCCAAGTATAAGGTCAAATAAATGAATGCTTCTTTTAACGGGGAGGATCATATTTTTTTTTAGCCTGTAGAAAAATCTAATTAATTGTAAACTTCATTACTTCATTCCTCTCGCCTCACAGAAAAAATATTATTTTCAAACCATGGTTAGTGACTAAAGTTACTGACCTCTGTAAACATTTTAACCATCAAAAATGACTCCAGATTATATTTCTTTAGTGCCTAAAAAAATAGTATCTGTACTCCAAAGGAAGATTAAAAAGCAGAAAACCTCTCCTATTCTCCATATTAAAATACACACTCAAAAATACTAAATACATTAAAAATAAGTATTAGTGAAAAGAAGCATAACTAACCTAAAATGTAAAATTAAAAAAAGGCTTATTCATTTTTTAAAAGTCTGACAAAATTGAGGTGTTAACTTGTTGGAACCACGCTGGGTGTATTTATACCACAATCAGCAAAAGCTGACTTGGGCTTTATTTATTGTTTAAATGTTTAAAAGTGATGAAGAAAGGTTAGTAATGCAAGTTAAACTTAAAAGTGTATTGTGCTCATAGTACATGAAACTAAAAATTAGTATCCTAGTATTATCTGATTCAGTAAAAAAATTTGCTAAATGGGGTAAAGTTTAACATCCATCTTCACTGTGTCATTTTCATCTTACTGTGAACACAAAAATATCAACCAACATTCATGTCACTTATTAGATTTAATGACAATAAATTTATTGGAAAAAAATCTGCAAACTGGGATGCAACTGGTTTTGTCAAATCATAGTCCAACTGCATGCAGTCACAGTTTGGTACTGTTACAAAAGGTATTCTGCAACAAAAAATGAGCTATACAGAATTTATAACATTTTACAATGAAAAGTAATATATATTGTTTTTTAAAGTTCTATATTTTGGAGCATTTCAGATTTTGGATTAGGGATGCTAAACCAGAAAAAAAAAAATCTATGGAAATATTCCCAAATCTGAAAAACTGCAAAATCTTAAAACATTTTTTAAAAAAAACTGATAAACTCTCAGAAAGGTTTAGTACCCCCCAAAATTATAAACTGTATGTATATCACTAGCTTCCACCTCCAACTGTTCTGTCATCCTTAGCCACACAACACTTACATAAAACATTTGTGATAAAGACTAAATGCAGAGCAAAAAGAATTTATAAAATTTTGCCTCATAGGTTTTCTATTCTTTTTGTCCTAGCAAGTAAGTCAAGAATTAATTCCCAAATTTGTCAGCATAAATTTTTTTAATCAAATAAGCCATCAGGTCACAGGAATACTGGGATCCCATTACTTTTTCCATTAAAGAGGTGTACTGTAAATCAAAGCACTTACCCTGACAAATAGCAATGTTTTCCCGGAGTCACAAAGACCCACAAGGAGAACAGCTCTTTGACTTCTCTTTCTGCTCCAGATGAATTTCCAGAACACTGTAGAGACAAAAATAACAAAATTGTGCTCTGATGATCAGTGGTACTAACAGACATCTTAGGACAAAACACCGCATTCACCAGTGACTTACTTTTTGATTGCCACCATTATCATCGTTACTGTTGTAGTTAGGAACCCTCTGGAGTGCCAACCACCATCAACTCTCAACTTCCCCGTACCCCTTAACCGGAATGTGGCTACCTCGAGTTGTATGTGGCCCTGGCGACCACTTCGCAAACATAGGAAGCTCAAAGCTGGTGTAAAGACCATGTGAGTCTAGGGGGTAAGAAGGATGGAAGGGGAGGAACCATGCTTTCAGACACGGCAGCCACAGAGGAAAGCTAATCGGCGTCCCAGGGACCCGGACGTCACTCGGGAGGGTCTCTCCGGACGCCCCTAGAACGCAGCGCTTCCGCCGCCGCTTCACCAAGAGGGTGGAGTGTAGAGGGGGTAAGTCTCACAATCCACATGTTCCCAAGGCGTCCCTCGCACCTCACTCGCGGCCTGCGGAAGCGCAGCCGACGCCCCGACCCTGCCCACCCCGCAGAGGCAGACCCCCTGGCCAAATATTTACCCAGAGTCAGCAGCACCACAGCGACCGCCAGCACTACTGACAGCAGCGTAGGGTCCCTCTGCTGCAGCTCCTGTCTCAAGGAGTCCAGGTAGGGCTGGAAGGTGCCTCCCGCGCCACCTCCATCCCCTACGCGACGGGAGTTCACGGTAGCCATGGAAGAGGTGCGTGGTCTCCAATGCCGCGAAAGCTACGTGGCCCTGTGTTCTGCGCGGGCGCGGGGAGCGAAGCATCACGGGAATGGTAGTCCCTAAACTGCGTTCCCGCCTAATAGCCGGGAGGATCCCCAAGTACCTGATGGGAGTTGTAGTTCTCTGGTGCGTCACGCTCCTCCAGAACCAAAAAGACTGAATTATTGGACGAGACGCGCTCATTCTTTCATATCAGTCGTTTGTCTCCTCTTTCGTTCATTCATTCTTTATTTTTTGCGGTACTGGGGGTCGAACCTAGACCTTCACAATGAGCCCAGCACTTCTTTTTATTTTTTATTTTGAGACGAAGTCTCGCTAAATTAGCCAGTCTGGGTTAAAACTTGTATCTTCCCGCCTCAGCTTCCCAGAGTGCTAGGATTAAAAGCAGGCAGCACCAAGCTGGGTTGCCGCCTTCTTAATGGCTATTGAAGGAACAATGAAATGAATAAAAGAAATGGCTCTCGAAATTTCCACCAAGGATTTCTAGTCGATCCCTACGTGGGGTGAGATTGTGAGGAACTCCAGCATCCCTACAAACATTTAAGCTGAATATAATGTGGTAAGGGATAGGACAGCGAGATGTGCCATGTGATGTGGGAGTACACAAGGCATGCTGAGTCCATCAAGAGCTTAATGAAAAGCTGCTGGAGACTGGAATTGAGTCCTTCCCGAAGGATGAGTCAGGCTGTGCAGGCGATTAAAAGGAAAAGGATGTACCATACACAAGAAAATGAGTACAAGCCAATGAATGATACATGCAGAAAACATGGTAATTTGCTGTCCTAACGGTACATCTAGGGCTGCAAACTCAAAATGACTACTTTAAAAGAAACAGCCAGGGCTGGGGATTTAGCTCAGTTGTTCCGCTGCCTTCCTCGCAAGCTCAAGGTCCGGAGTTCGATCCCCGGACCAACAACAATTAATTAATTAATTAAACAGCCAGGAGCCCGGCGTGGTGGCCCATGTCTGTAATCCTAGCACTCAGCAGGCTGAAGCAGGAGCATCCCCTGAGTTTGAAGCCTGTACTATACAGGTGAGTTTAAGACCAACCTGAACTATATAGTGAGACCTCGTCTCAAAAAACAAACAAACAAAAAATAGAAGAAAACTGAAGGGGTCATTCCTGACAAAAGGAAACAAATCCTACTCAGCCAGGTGCATTGTGGGACCTGGGTTACGAGTTCTACTGTTTTTTCAAGAGAAGCCATAAGGGAGATTTTTATGGGACGTTTTCCATTTTTAAAATTTTGGCAGGTAATTGAAAAACATTCAAAAGCTTGTGGTCCAATTAAAACACTTCCACTGGGTCAGAAGTGGCCAGCCTAGGCTTCCTGTTTGCAGTTTCTGATATGAAACAGGTGTCGCTGTTCTAAAAGGCACATGTGATTTGATTATTGGCGTGACTGGGTAACAAAATGCCATGTCATTGTCATCAAAAGACTAGAAGTTCATTACTCACAGTTCCACATTGCCACACAGACCTCAACACACACAAAGACCAGGGACAGAGAGAGGAATTAAGACACGTCTTTGCTAGTGTGGCAAAGAGCAGATGGAGATGGTTTTAATCTGGTAAGAAGAGAAACAAAGATGTGAAGGAAGGTTGAGATGTGATTTAGTCACACACTGGAAAACCAAACCATGGAGAAAATATAAAGAACTTCTGCTGTTAATTTGGCCTTGGGATTCGAATGATCAGTTAAAAATCTATAAAACTTCATTAGAACAATCTTGTAAATAGGAGTGGCAAAAATAAAGCTGGAAAGGTTGGCAGGAATCAGACTTGAAGGGATTTTGTGTGCTCTGCTGAGGCAGAGCCTAGAGTTTATTCAGAATACCAGTAGACCCTTGACATACGAACTAAATTTGTTCCCAAGGGCTGGTTGTAACTCAAGTTGGTCAATTGAAGGCTCGGGCTCCTCTACACAGCCTTCAAAGTCCCTCTCCTATACACAGCCAGATCTCAGTGTCCTTAGAGAGATATTGGCCCAGGATTTCTCACTTAACCCCACACAGGAAAAGATGTAGTAATGTTCCTTCCAGAACTCTTTAAGGGTTAAATCTGTATCTGAGACCATCTGGAAGTACAAGCTGCTGGCATATGGGTCATAACTCAGGATTTTGTTCTTAAGTTAAAACTAAAATTCCAGTCATAACCCAAGTTGTTCATATGCCAGGCCAGTTGTAATTCAAGGGTCCACTGTATAAGTTTCAGATGAGGGTGATATAGGTAATTGGCAAATCTACGGAGAACTGTGACTTAGGAGAGAAAAGACTACAGGCAGGGAGATCAGCTAAATTCTTTTGGAGTATGTGGGGAAGACATTCGGAGTGTAATACAGAAATAAAAGTAAGGGTGGAAAGGAGGGCACAAATTTAAGAGATGTTTCGAAGTTAAACCATATAGAATACAAATAGGTGGATAAGGTGAGTTAAGTAGGAGAGTAATCAAGGCTGCATGCTACACAATTCCTGTGGGTAACTAGAAAGATGAGGGGGACAGTAAGTGAATTAAGGACCCAGAGAGGGTTTGAAGCTGTGAACCCAATTGGAAGAGATTAATAGAATGAAAATTATCTTTCTTTTCCATTTTGACTATACCAATCTGCATTCCCACCAACAGTATATAGACTTCCCTTTTCTCCACACCCTCACTAGCATTTGTTATCTTTTGACTTTTTGATGATACTATAGTCATCCTAATGGGTATGAAGTGGTATATCATAGTGAGTTAAATTTGCATTCCCTTGATGTTCAACAATGTTGTGCACATTTAACATATCTGTTGGCAATTTTTCTTCATTGGATAAATGCCTATTTAGGTCATTTGGCCATTATTTTTATTTGTTTTTCTACTGTTGAGTTATATGAATCCTTTATAAATTTTAGCATTAATCCCTTATAGATACATGATTTTAAAATATAGCTTCTCCACCTACAGGCTGCCATTTCATTATGCTCATTGTTTCCTTTGATGGACAGAGGATTTTTTTTGTTTGTTTTATGGAGTACCATTTATTTGTTTTTGCTTTTGTGGCCTGAGCTTTTGGTGTACTCTCCCAAAAATATCATTGCCAAGGCCAGTGGCTAGGAGCTTTTAATAGTTGGAAGAGCTAGTTAGTGTATTATCATTACTCTTTTCTCAGAATTTTTATTATCTAACTTAATTTTTGGTCAAGCATTAGCATCATTTTCTCAAGTTAAAAAAATTGTATATTGATTATTTAGAGAGAATAGGCATGTTTACAAGATCGTGTCTTTCTATCCAAGGCAATGTCTTTTACATTATTTTTTACTTTACTAATTGTGATTTGAATGGCTTTTAGATATAGTTTTTATTAATTTACTAAATAATGCATTTTATTTATTTTTTTAAATTATTATTCTATTATTCATTAAGGGGGATTATTTTATATTTTAATTTTTATCCCACTTTACTAAATTTTATTTTACTACTATTAATATTTTATTGTTCTTATGGATTTTTTTATGTACAATTACCACTTATAAGTAATAGTAATTGCAATATTTCTTCAAGTATTACATCTAAGCTGGGAATGCTGCTCAGTGATAGAGTACTTGCCTAGCATGTACAAGCCCTGGGTTCAATCCCCAGCATTGCAAATATATATGTAAAATCTTAGTTTTCTTGTGTAATTGTACTGACCAACCACTGTAAAATAAGATTGGTGGTAATCAAAGTTTTTCTTTCCATGTTTCTAACTTCAGTGGAGATGCTTCTATTCATCATAGGTATACATTACCTTTTGATTATATGTAGATTGATACCCAATAACATCTGTCTATCCTATTTTAGTAATGAACTTATGAAGAATGGTGCTGAGTGTTAATTGTTCTAGCCCTGTTGCATGAGAGTTCCTGTATCTATCAAAATTAAGTTTATTGACCTGTTGCAATAAACAGATCATATCCCAAAGGAAACATGGGACATCTTATCAAACAAAGGACAAAACAAGTTTATTCTAGGATCTGAGGTAATGGTGGAACTTAGGTAAATATTAAATAGGGCAGCATATTGGTGGGCTCAGAGCAAAGCAGAGCTGGTTCACATTCAGCCTGGAATGTAAAGTGGGCCCAGAGTCCTGTTTCCTCAGGTGCTAGAAGATAGATGTGGAATGTTGTGTGTAGAAACCTCATATCTGCAGTTTTGCATCTGACTGTAAATGGAGGCTGTGAGAGGAGTTTGTAAAAGAAAGAGGCCAACTGGGGAATTATTTAGAAGGTCAAATTAACAGAATTGGGTGACATTGGATGTGGACTGAAGGAAAACCATGAATTGATATTGGACACTTCCATTTAAGGCATGAATAATTGGGTAAATGATCATGTCTTCAGTGGATATAAAATACATTTTAACAAAAGTTGGTTTAGGAAAGCCAGAGAGGGAAGAGCAGGATGATTCCCCTCAGTTTTTTGTTTTTGTTTTGTTTTGTTTTTGCCATGTTTGGATTGAACTGAGAGCTTTGCATATACTAGGCAAGTGCTCTACCACTAAGATATATCCTCACCCCAAGATTTTATTTACTGGGCTTCTGAATGCTTTAAGATTCTAGAGGATAGACACACAGGTGATAGGAGGTATCAATGTGCAGATACTGGGAGCTGGGGTCAAAACTATCAATATGGATGCCCAGAAGTCATTAGCTTGGCTAAAGGAAGGCCTGGAAAGTAAGAGGAGCACTGGATCCAGAGAAGAACTCCAGGCAGATTTCTATAAGATTTTCCAGGCTGGTAAGATGAGCCCACAGTAAAGGCCACAAATGAATAAAGAGAGGCAGGAATCAAAGCAGAGAGCTGCTGTGTCAGAAAAGCCAAGGGAAGGAATTCTAAGGAGAAAGAAGCAGTCAGCTGTATCAAGCACAAGAACAAGCTCAAGAATGAAAGAAGTAAGCTGGTCGAGCAGTTGGCAGGTGGGTGGTGACTTGGTAGGGTAACTTCAGGGAAGTGGATAGAACAAAAGACTGGTTCTATATGTTCAGATGATTATAATAAACATGGCACGGCAAAGCAAAGGAACCTTACAGGAAGCTGGGCTGAGAAAGGTAGGAGACAAGGCAGAAATTACACTGGCATCAGGCTAAGGGATGATTTTTAGCAAAAGATATTTCAATTTCACTTTTTCTAACTGGTTAGAATCAGGACCTTGGCTATGCTAAATGCTCTTTATTAAAAATATCAAGATAAAGATATATCTTCCATTTTTTTTCTGTACTCACTGGACACTTGATCTTTGTAACACTCTTCCCACCCTCCTTCCTGCCTCTCCCTTGACAACACACATACACACAAGCACACACACACAAGACCATATGCATTTGATTTTGTTATGACCATACAGACTTTTACAAAAGGTTGTTTCTTAGATTGGACTCAGGTTGTGCTGCTGTGGCACCACACAGAGCTGCAGAGAAAGACTGAATCTTGAGCTCACAAGGAGGGGCTCTGTTACACACATATTTAATAAGATAGAATAAAGAAATCCTTCTGTTGGGAATACTTAGAAAAGAAGGCAGTTTTTGAAATATAAAATTCAACAAAAAATTTTATTTGTGTCCTGTACATGTGACAACACAGAGTTCAAAGACAGACAGGGTTGGCACAAACTCCTCAGGCCAGCAAGACTAGGAGAAAGAAGCCTGTAGGTCACCTGAGCTGTCATCTCCCTTGCAGCGGCAGACCCATCTCTTGGATTTTAAAGTTTGTGGAAAGTGCAGGCTTCCAAGAGTCCTGTGGAGCAGAGAATAAGGATATTGAAATATATTTATATTTATTTATGAACTGTTGAATGAATGGACAGTTAAGCATAGTACCAAGGCATTCAGACACGTTGCCCTGCACTTCCAATGCATGAACTGGGACATTCTCCCAGTGCTCATGTCTACTTGCCTATACAGCTCTGCACCTCCCCTGGGAAGAGTCCACACTGAGACTGTAAGGGCTGTAACATGATTTCCCTGCCCTCCAGCATTCCCCTCCTTTGTTTCATATGGGGGCATCTCACACACCTGAGTTCATGTCGCTGGAAGTTCCCCAGGAAGACTGTCCTCCCCAACCTCTTTAGGCAAGTGAGGAACTGATATAGCAAGAAACACCTGCCAGACTTTGTACTGGGGACAAGGGATGGAGCCGAGAACAGTAGAGCCAGACTCTCTCCCCTTGTGGAAGATACGACTTAGGTCAGTATTACTTGGGTTTTGCAGCAGTGGCCCTAGACAAGCACATCGCTTACAATTAATTATAATGAATTATATGGGGCAACTTTTAAAGTACAATCACCCTGAGCTGTCACAGCCTTACTGAATCTGTATCTCCGGGCCTTGGGAATAAGCATGTTTGATTAGAACTAAGACTCTCTTATCTGTTCACTACAGTTGACAAATAACTGCCCAAGCATGTTACTCCCCCATATCTTCCAAATGCTTTCTAGTGAATCCATTATTCCCAGCATAGTTATATTGCAAAGGTGTGCTCTATTTCAATTCCTAGATCTATTCCAAATGAGTTGTATCCTTGACAACTTTATAGTTACCAGAATTTATCATTGTTGAACCTGTCTAGAGCAACACTGTCTGAAAGAACTTTCTCCAGTGATACTCGTGGCTCCTAAGCACTTAACATGCAGCTGGATGGGACTAAGAAAATAAACTTTTTTCAACTTTAAGTAGCCACATTTTTCTAGTGGAGTAGGTAACTCTAATAAAAAGTTTACTTCAGAGAAATGGTTATGTGCATGCAAACCCTTCATTTTCTTAGAAATAAGATGGAGCTCTGCATGTCCAAAAAATTCACTACCTTCATGCTCTGGGCCTGTGCCCCCTCTCTCTGCAGGCTAGCCATTCAGGCTAGCCTATCATATGTGCAGGGCGTAGGTTAGGTTGTTCTCTCGCTGATTCATCTTGCCCACATGGCCATATCCTGAAAGTCACAGCACTTCTCCTTTATAGTCACCACCCCAGAACCCACCACTGCATTTTGTTTGCAAATTCCCCATGCTGTGTTCCTCCTACTCACGTGAGGTTGAGCATTTTTTCAGGTTACCAACAGCCTTGACATACTCCTCTCCTAAGTACTTTTCAGGGGTGACAGAATTCTCAACTCTGACCAAACATTTCGTATCATCCCTGAACAGAAGATCCTTGGTTTTAGACCGGAACAAACAAAATTGGCTTGTGCAGTCAGATACATGACTTCCAAATTGACTCTGCCAAATGAACAGAAAGTGTGTGAAGATGTGCCCCTGAGCATTTGGGAACATGCATCAGAGAAGGCTTTAAACTCTGAACCAGCCCTGGGAACAACGAACTAAGAGAAGCTACAGGGTATGCTTCAGGAACTTTCTACTTCCCTCACCTGCCATTTACCCACTTGAGGTCCCAACTGCATGTTTTCATGATGCCCAGAAATCCTTGGTAGTGGCCTTTGTCCTACCTTCCTCTGAGAACTGCCCCTTTCCCACCTATCCTTGCCTTTCTTTCTTTCTTTTCTTTCTTTCTTTATTTCTTTTTCTTTCTTCTCTCTCTCTCTCTTCCTTCCTTCCTTCCTTCTCTGAGGGTAACAAACTTCATAGGAAACAATTGAGAAAGATGAGAAGAATGAGATGGATTCCTGGTAAACTATATAAAGAATATACAGTTGTATATCAAAGTTTTCATAAAATATTACAACCCACCAAATTAAGGCATTGATATTATTTAACAATAAAAATTAACTGATTTGAAGATCAGTATGAAAATATTCTGATGTAGTGATGTCCAAAATAACTTTCCGCAATGATGGAAACATTCCATATCTCTGTACTGTCCAAGTTGGAATGTACTAGCCATGTGAATTCTTGAAATGTGGTGAAGGCAATTGAAGACATACATTTTTTAATATGATTTAAATAGCCACATCTGACTAGTGCCTACTTACTGAAATGTGCAATTCTAATGGTTCATGAGTCAAAAACCAGTGGCTTCTTTCAGAGGATTTCTCTACTGTTAACTACTGTTAAGGGATTGAGGGTCAGGTATGGAAGAAGAAGAAAGCTCTTAATAGATTTATCTGGCCACTTAAACAAGATCTGAAATTCTCCATAGCTTTTGGAGCCAGGGGCCGGAACAACCCATTGGGAAGAGTGTAAGGGAAGGACTCGGATAAAATTCAGTATGCCCTTCCAACTCCCAGCTAATATCAGTGGGAGTAAAAGGCCTAGGATTTTGATCACTCAGGAAGATGCTTACAGTTACAGCAAATCTGAGGTTGTGGCCATCCCCGAGGCCATCTATGCGTGAAAAATATTGCTGAGGGGCTGGTGGAGAGATGGGGGTGTGTGCTCATTTCTGGACAGAGTTTGCAGAGCCAGATGAGTGTTCAGAGGTGGAGGGGCCTAAGAGCCCTTTCTGATCACCTGCAGGCTGAATAGGCCCTTTCTTTTTTGAAACTGAAGTCTTGATTTTTGGTCTTAAACACTTTTCTGGGATCCAGCTTATTCATAAAGGAGTTGGTCTCTTCCATGAGCAGGTCTGTGTTGTAGATGATGGGTTTATACAAGCTGAACCACTGCTTGGCCTGTGGGCTAATGCCATAGCTGGTGAATTCATAGTAACACTGGGGTAGGCCCAGGTGGGTGATGGGCAGGTGCCAATAGGCAGTAAAAGTATCTGTGAGAAAATGCCAATATAACACTCTGTCTGGGAACCAGATCTCACTGTCTTGTGCCAACGCTGGTTTCCCAGTTTTGTAGGCAAGGCAAACCTTCCCATTCCCATTGCATGAATCCTGTTCAAATATCATACTGCAAGGGTCAAAATGAAGCTTCTCTGACTTGTCCTCACTGGCTTCATATGTGTCATCTTCCACATCTGCCTGAGTTAGTGCATTAGGAAGAGAATACATGGAAGACTGGTTGGGCTGAGTTAGTTTTGAGGCACTGTTAAATGCCATATTGCCTAGCGGGATGATGTGCTGCTATCTAGTTTCACACTCCATTGGTCATCAGGTAAAAGTTCTTCATATCCTTAGGCATCATAATTATTTTTTTGTTCTCATGAAGGAAACCATATGACATTCAGCAGGTGCCTTTTCTATGATGGTCACCTCGGTCACACCTGGGGAAGAGTCTAGGATGACAGTGACACCCGGGGTCAGCTTCTCCAGGTGCAGCTTGTTGTAGCCCAGCTGAAGGGGCGGTGTCTCCTCCATGGCTTGTGTCCCTGCTTGACCACTGACCCGGCCTTAGCACCTTGGCCTGTGAGTTAGCTGTGTTAGCTGGGAGCTGGGAGCTGTAGTTCTCTAAGCCTCGGAGCCCAGGTGGGGTATACGCCCCCCTCCACCCCCACCCTGGGCTGATCCAGCATCAGCAGCTTGGCGGGGTGCTCCTGGGCTTTGTCCCACACCTCACCTCAATATTTCGCTCCTTCTCCCCCTGCCCCACCTTCTCTCCTCTTCAACAGGGACTCCACAAGTTTCCCAGGCTGGACTTGAGCTTGCAATCCTCTTTCCTCAGCCTGCAAGAGCACTGGGACTACATGTGTGTGACACCACCACAGCCCCTCCTGCTTTTTCTAATCTCTCTTCCCCCCACCCCTTCACTGCCCTTGCCCATGGGGGCTGCTTATAGAAGTACAAGGAAAATAACATGTCCCTTTGGATATTACTACCAAAGAAGACATTAACTAAGTCTTCCAAGAGGAACAGCAGAGATGGTTGTTAAAAGTTCGTGTTTGGCTGCCTTTTGAATCCTATCTTGGGCTAGCCACTTAACTTCTCCAGGACTCCTAAGGTTGTAGGTGAAATGGTGAAAATTCATTAAATGCTTATATTATCATCATGTGCTTTAAAAGACTGCTGAAGATATGCTATCTTAATTTTTAAAGAAAGCTAATGGTGAGCCAACAAGTAGAAGTTATACTGAAGAGAACAGTGATGTTTGTGCGTAGAGAGGCCTTTAGGATTAGAATTCTCAAGCAGCCATTTTCCCCTACAAGCTGGCCCTGACATGGTTGTTCTCCCCAGAGAGGAGGCTCTCTGAGGCTAGGGATCATTTGTTTTTCAGACTATTGAGAGCACTGCTCAGTCTGCCTTGGCAAGTGTACTTTTCAAGGCTTGTGTCAAGGATTGCTAGGAAACAGAATCAGTCTTCTTTATTTTGAACAAGAACAGATTTGGAGAAAATAATCATATCCCTGAGCAAAGTCAAAGGGCAGGAAGGTAGATTCCTGGTCCTGAGGGTTCATCCATCAGGTGGGGACTTATTTCCAGTGACTAAAATATTGAAGCAGAGCCAGGCCTGAGAGACCCTGTTCTATAATTGCATAGCTAGCACATTTTGAGCACTTCTTGTAGGCCACATATTGTCCTATGACCTTTGCATGCATCACTTCCTTAATCCCCATATTAACTGAGAAGTGGGTATAGTATTATTATTTGTATTTTATATATGAAAAAACTGAGGCACAAAGCAGCTAAATCATACCTAAGATAGCACAGTTAGCATGCTAGGAGCTGATATTTGAACCCAGATATTCTGATCCAGTCTGTGTGGTCTCCCAATTCATTTTCATAAAAGAATAATGGAGTCAGGCCTATACTTAGCTGAGAACTCCCCCAAATAACCCATACCCATCTAGGACTAAAAGGTGGGAGGCCCTGGTTGGTTCATACCTGCTGTTTCACTAACACTTCGCGAACATATTCTGCCTTATCTTTCCGTGCGACCACAGCATGATTTGGGGCTCGGGCCAGGTGGCATTTCTCATACTCATCCACAGACTTCCTGCTGCCATCAGGGCACAGCAGCTCAAAGTCGTCCTTCTTAAGATTGCTAGCCCACGAATCAGGGTTGTTTCCTGGGGAGAGAAGACCGAAGGTGGATCAGCCAGAGAAGATGGCCTTGGTCACTGCAGGATTGGGACCGATCCACTGATGTGTGGAGGATCTGGGGCCTTTGGCCAGCTGAAGCAACAAAAGTGCACATATTGAGTTTATACAACACAGAGAGGAAGGAATCTGCACCAGCATTTTCAATCTGATACCTCCTTTAGTTCTAAGTGAAAATGTGCACATGCCTGTGTGGTATAGGCCAATTTCCTGTGTCAACCTCTTGCTTTATCTTTTGTATATTCTCTTTGCAAAAAGAAAAACAAAACTCACCCAAAGTGAGTGTTAAACATGTTTTACCAACTTCTATTTCTCTCTCATAATGCAAGATTTTTACTTTTATTTTATTCTTTTTTTTTTTTTTAAGGTACCAGGGATCGAACTCGGGTCCTTGCTCTTGCGCAGCATGCGGTGAAACCACTGAGCTAAATCCCCAGCCCCATTTTATTCATTTTTTAATTAAATTTCTTTTTTTTAACTGAACAAGTAGTATATGAGATTGTGCTCATAAAATTTCAATATATTTACATATAAACTAAAAATCTTCCTTCCCCAAATCCCATTCACTTCTAGAGTTCTAATCTTTGATATTGCATTTGTGTATGTCCATCCATGCCTTGTTATATATGCATATATCTACATATGTGTCTTCATGACATTACATATTTATCATTGTTCTTAGTTTTAAATCTTAACAAATGTCACTCAGGCAGGAGGAACAGTGGGTCTATAAAGACTCTTGAATGAAAACCAGTGTTAATGAATGAACCATGGCCTAAAGGTAGAATATTTAGATAAAAATTAAATGGAAGGTGATTCAGTCTGTGCTAGGAGGGTAGCCATAGGCATCTAGAAGGGTAAAATATTGTGTTTTGATAAAATCAATACAAGTTTATGGGAATGTGTAAAATGCTGCATAGAATCAGGAAGAAAGTTTTGAAACATTTATAATTCCACAGCACACATCTTCAGTATTAGTACATTTCTTTCTATCTTTTTATTACATGTACACACAATATTCACACATCCATATATTATTAAGAGTGTTAAAAAACACATGCCTTTGTATCTTGCTTCTTCTATGCTGTAACATAACACTTAATACATATGTTTTTAAGAAATAACATAAGACATTGACAGACTTAATCTAGTCTTGACTGGCAAGGAGCATGAAAAGACTATAGGGATAGAGGCTATGAGAAGCAAAGTGAACTTTAAGAGAAGGATGAGGAATTTGGATTTATGTAAGTTGAGTTTGCAACATCAATGTATTCTGTACATTAAAATGACATGTTGGGGAATCGAAATACTGGAATGGATGAGAGCTCAGACCTACTGTCTAGATTCTATTTAGGAAGTAAAGACTTTGGAGTCTTTGCAAAGAATGGAGAGTAAAGGCCTCAAGATGAGGGGGTACTCAGAAAAGTATAAAAAGAAATCAAGGGTGACAAGGAACCAAAGTTAGGGTAACACTCTGAAGCAGAAAGAAGGAAAACCCTTAAAGGAAAAGCAAAAATAATACAAGGGGAAAAAAATTAGTCAACCCAATATTCCTGCAGATACATTCTTAGCAACTGCTATGTGCCATGTGCTATCCTGGGTGCTGGGAATATGACAGGTGGAAAAAGAACCCGGTGATGTCCAGCAGATGAAGAGTATCATAGATTGTGATTAATTCAGTAACACTAGCAACATGGACAGAGGATACTTGTTATAAGATGTGGGAAGGCTTCTTAGAGGACCTGGCACTGAGCTAGTTCATTCTAGATGTCACAGTGGAGGAGCACATGTGAGAGGAGCAGGGAAGTGATTAACAGCCTGGACATTAGTGAGTTTGCTGGCAGGAAGAGACACTGCGGAGCATGGAATGCTTATTCTTACCAATGTTCATTTTTGTTTTGTTTTAATGTCAAAGCTGCCCCACTTTCACCACTGACCGGCACTCATTGGTGATTCTTCCCTGAATTGATTGTCATCATATTGGTTGCCAGATAAAAGTTTTCTAGCTTTGCCATTCTAGCTACATTCACTGATTTAGCATTCTCAAATAAGGAAGACCTTGCCCTTCTTCACTTGTCTAATCAGTATTGCCTTGTGGATTCTTAGCGTTATTAGCCTTTACAGCTATCATTATTTTAATGTTCAAAATTCCCAGATTTGGCAGAAAGCAGTCCTTCATGTTTGCTCTTGTGTCTTTTGACATGTCTCATCATTCTTTGAACACTTCAACGTGTGTAGCTCACCATATGTTTTTTCTGTCCCAACCTTGAAATTAGCTTTTTTTCCAAGGATTCCTGGTTCCTTTCTACTGGTGTGTTATTGTCCTTAGGTCTTCTCAGTGGATAGAGCCAGAAAATACACACACACACACACACACACACACACACACACACACACACACACACAGCTGCTTGGGCACAGCCAGGGCCTTGTGAATGCTAACCTAGCGCTAGCGCTCTACCACTGAGCTATATCCCAGCTTCCACAGCAAGGGGAAGAAAAGCTATAAAGGTCATTATTGGAATGATTGAAAACTTAAACATGTACTGTGTAGTGTTAAATCCATCTAATGTAAAATTACTTAATCTTGGTAATTATACTATCAGTATGTAAGGGAATGTCTTATTCTTGAGAAATTGGCACAGAAGTATTTAGGAGCAAATCTGAGCTGTTGGGGGAGGATTTAGGGCCTTTGGGAACCCCATGGGCCTGATCATTCTACCTATCCAGGTGAACACTTTCCTCTTCACTGAATACACAGGCTGAGAAGTAGAGCTTTGGATGCTGACAGTGTCTGTCATTCTTCTACAAAGTCACCCCTAAATACCAGTGAATCCTACTGAACCAGATTTCCTGAGGACAGAGGAACATGTGCACGTACCATCAGTGTTCTGCATGACAGTCTTGTGCTTCACAAAGGCCACATCTCCTTTCTCAACCAGACACCTGCAGAGGTCCAGATAGGGAGAGAGAAGAGAGGAAATCACATTGACACATGTGTCATTCAAGGAGTCACCTTATAGATCCAGGCTTGCCACCTAATATCAGCAATTACAGCTTCCATTCTATTACTTAGCAACATAAAGAATAAAGAAAAAGAAAGGCTCTAAATTGCTATGTACTTACACAATCTCAATCCCACATACTAAATCAGAATTTTTAAAAAATTCTTTTATTGGTACATTGTAGGTATACAACACAATTACATTTCTCATTGGGAACTTGTACCTTTACATGATGCATCTTGGTTCTTATTTTTTGCCCATTCCTAGCCCTCCCTTCACCCCCTCCACCCTTCCCTATTTACAAAGACTTTATTTCCATTTTTTCCATTTCTCATCAACTAAATCAGAATTTTTGATACAGCTTCTCCAATAGATTACATCCTTTTCTAACAACACAGACAGCAGAAAATCTGTTTTCTAGTGAGGTGATACCTCCCCCAGCAAGCATATGAAATGCGAATGGAAACTATTCCTTCAGCTTTTTTAAACATGTGAATGCCTGTGCAACATTTATGGGAGACTGAAGCTTAATCAAAAATCTCAATTTGTAATATCCTTCATCCTTTCAAAAAAGGATTTTAATATCCAGGGGGCATTTGAGGGTGTTTTTTTTATGTTTTGTTTTGTTTTCATTTGAGAAATGCGGAGAGTGTGGCCATCCTGCTATTAAGGCACTTATCCCTACTAAATCTCAGTCTGCATGTCTTTGGATGAGGTATTGGGGGTTGTAAACACATGTCTGAGCCACAAGTCTCCAAGAAGTTTCAGAAAAGAAATACAAACAAAATGAACTCTCTTGAGTATGGATCCATTACTCCTTTTAACTGCACTCCTTTAAAAGTACACATCACACATACACTAGACTCGTGTGTGCTTCAGCATCTGCACAAGGCCCTACTCCATAATCCAGGTACATCGGACTCTTGTAGAGTAAGTAGGCCCTGATCCACTGTCTGGCTACAATAACCCCCCTGCTTCATGGAAAATAATCTGCCTCTTCCTGCATCTGTTCAAGAGTTTTGGGGAAAGCTAGCCAAAAAGGCTAATGCTTGTTGTACCATACACTGAATGCATTTCATTTTCTTTTCAGTTCATAGTCTGTCAGTTTGATATGTTTAATGGTATAGCTAGGTTTTATAAAAGATATTTTTATGAAAATGTTTTAAACATGTAAGCAAAAGTTGAGCCTTTTCTCGTGATCTGTAATTCTCAAACATTTCATCACCAAAAAGAGACCAGGGAAAGGTTAAAAGTGGACTACAATTCTCAGTCCCTTCAATCTCTTAAATTCCTGTGAAAACAACACATTCTTTTGTACACTTAGAAATGTGTGGAATGTGGTTTGTACTTACTTTAACTTACAAGGTTATTTTAACTGAAAAATAGGGATGATCTTTGTGTTTCACTTCTTTACTGGGAAGTTCAGTTACAATACCACCAGCATTGTGTGTTTCATGGATTCAGAAGGTACCAGATAACAGAAGCCTGGAGCAAAAAGGGTAACTAAGTAATGTAGGCTACATAGGTGTCTCCAGAAAAATGATAGAAACTCTATAATGTACAACTGTAGTGAGGAATTTAGAAATCATCTACTTCATTAGTCTGTACTTCCAGATGAGAATGGTTCTAGGTTACCCAGAGGTGCATGGAAGTGCTTGAATCAAATTTCCTGACTCAGTGTTTATCCAACTAGATTAGTGTTTCATCACTTTGGCACTAGTGACATTTGGAGCTGCATAATTCTTTTCTGTACAGTGTTATCCTGTGCATTGTAGGAAGATTAGCTGCTTCTACCAAATGCTAATAGCAGTCCCCATGCTCAATGCATGCTCAATGTTGTCACAATCGAAAATATCTCTAGATAGTGTCAGTGTTCCATGGAGGACAAATTGCCCTCAGTTGAGAAGTGCTAATCTGTACCATACATCATTTTTTTTCTTTCTAGGAGAGCCACTTTGGCAGACAGTGTGCTGGAGGGACCTGATTGTCCCTTCATGCACGGCTCTATGTTATTTACAAAATATCTCATCCTAATACATGCATCACTTAACAGACTAGCAACATAAGAATTTCACCTTAGTTCCTTTAAAAAATCTAGTCAAAACTAGGATATTGTATTTATGTTTGGAGTAAAGGACTCACCGGAAAGCCCCTGTGTAGCCATAGTACACTTCTTTGTTGTTGGGAGCACACACATTTGGGCCAATACAGAGCTTACAGAGACTGGAATTTTTGATAGACCCAGGGGCACAGCCTTGACTGAAAAATTCATCTGTGCAGAAGAACAGGTGGAAGTCAGCTCTTCCTGAGTCGATCGATACTGCTGGTTTTTATCTAACACATAACAGGGCTGCATGGTCCAGGAGAAGTACAACATTTAATTCATTCTGTGACCTGCCATCTACCAACTCAGAACTGACAGACTCCAGACTGTAAAACTGAGTTTGGGGAAAGGAGCTCATGACCACTACATTTCAGGGTGGAAGGGATTCCTTTTTGCACCAGGATAGTGTCATCCCTAGACTAAAGAAAGAAGAAATAAAATCTCTGAGCTTGTGGAACCTGTTTTCAAATGTCCCCTTTACTATGTCAACAAGCTCAATAAGGAGACAGGAAGTTTTCCTTGGAATTCAGCTGCTTGCCCACAGCTGTAAAAGCACAGACAGACAGGAGATAGTGCCTCAAAAGTGCAGAGGTCAGGAGCCCATTGGGACCAAAAAATAAAAGGACAAAGGGAATATCCCTGAACAAACTAAACTAAGTAAATTAAAGGCAAGGTAAGATAAGTCTTAAGGAAAACTGGAGATGCAAAAACACAACTGATGGAATCTGCTGGCAATGGGAGGCCTGGCAAAGCAGCAGCAAAGCAGCAGCAGATCTGCATGTTTGCACATCTTCTGCCCCTTTGTGTGCACTGTATAAGCTTTTACATCCAGGCACTTCCTTGTTACCGCCCCCCCAATCTAGTAAGGCCTTTTCTCTGTTCTTTCTAATAAAACACACACCCTGGCCCATTCCCCACTGCTTGCTGTTCTGTTGTATCCTTCTGCACCACCTCATAATAAGAACCTGAAGGGGAGAGAGCTGGTTACATCATGACTTGTGGATCTGACCCCAGCCGCCCTTTGCTTCATGTCAAACTGATATACGAAAGCATAGTGTTGCAGAGATATGTTCTCATCTCTAATCCCTAGGTACACAGGGTTTTCTGGAATTTGTAACCAGATTTAGAGACCTCCATCCCAAGGCTGTCTTTTTCAAGGAGCTGCCCAAACTTGGAGCTGGCAGGGAGGAAATAGAAAGCAAATGTAAATCAGAATCATTGTAAAACATTTGTCTGTAGGTATCTTACACCCAGAAGTTTAAGGGGGTAGAAATAGATTTGTACCGGATTGTACTCAAAGAACATGGACAATAAACTGCTGTCTACCCCTAGAGGAAGTCCAGGAGCTGGGCAGTGACTCAGTGTGATTCCCAGCACCTTAAGAGATCAGGGATCACCCACACTCACATAGCCTACAGAACTCCTATGGCAGGGATTGCTAGCTGTGTATCCAATATGCATTTCCCTTTGTCCCTGAGTAACAAAAATTTAGTTTTATTTGGGGTACGAACATGTTCAAATGAAAGATTATATTTTCTGTTATAGCCCATTGTGGTTCTGGGCAATGGGAAGAAGTTAGCTCAAAGTTGGTTAAATGTCCTGGAAGTCTCCTTTAAAAAGCTGACAATAGTGGGTATAAACTTCCACTTGCTCTAACGTGGTGCTTGGGCCCTGGATTGTGGATGTGATGGCAACCATAGGGTAACCTTGAACATGGAAGCCTCTTGCTGGAAATGGTGGAGTAGAGGAGAAACCATCAGGATCATACCAGTCATGGATGCTTCTCTGGTATTTTTAAGAGATGAATGTATATTACCCTGAGCCATTATAAGCAACTAAAATGAACCATCTTGATTTGGCTGCCCAGCTCCCCAACCCTCCTATCCCTTTTTGATATTTCCTTGAGGATCACTCTAACAAAATGCTACTTCTATGGAACTAGGGCTCACAGCATCTTGTACCACACTTCTCTCCCTCAGAACCCTTCTTTCTACTGCAACCTTGTGGCAACTCCTTCCCAGGATTCACTCACCAAATCTGCAGTGGTTGATTCTGCTGTAGAGCAGACCCATGGGAATGTTCCAGCCAGCGGTTCTGTCTACTGCAGTGTGGCAAGACTTCTTGCCCTCCAAATTATTCCAATTGATGTCAGGATCTGATTTCTTTACCACTGCCACACCAAAATACCCTACAAGAAAGACAAGAAGAGAAGTGTCTGGAGCCTCCAAAGTGTCTGCTTCCAGTCAAAGGGCAGCAAAGATGTCCTGAATCATTCATAGTGTCCCAAGAGGGTCTGTGGAGTAACTGTGGTAAAATCAAGGAACTTGACAGAGATTAATCTGAACTTTAAAGAGAAAATACTAATATCACATGGTCCTCCATTATTATGCACAATTTTTATCTTTTTATGTGTCAGTTAAAAGTAAAATAAAATACACAAAAAGTCAAAATACTAAGAATACTTTACCGGGAGAGCAGTGGCTAATGTATAACCCTTTTCTGAATGCATAAAGCTACTACAGTTAAAAATCCACAATCCATGTTCCAATGTATTGTTGCAGAGGAATGGATACTGAATACCATAGCTAATGTACCCCCAGCATTTTATAAATCAACATACATTGAGATAGAGTAGTATAAGACCATTAAACACCAAGGGGTAATCAGACTAGACAGTTTCCAAGAGAACACAATTTTATACCACAATACTTATGCAAAGTGGAAAATATAAAAAACAAATCAGCTGCCATTTTTAGCAGTAAGTACATGCTGGTCTTTATAGTAAGAAATAGAACATCAACTCATGATTTCAGTTTTCCAATTTATTCAGATCAGAATACTGTTTCCAGCAAAACAGAACTCTTATCTATAGAACAAGAATGGCTCTTTCTAGAGCTGCTAAAGAGCTTAGCTCCTCCAGTGATGGGGAAAGGCTAGGAGGTTGCACGCAGCAGAAGGGACTAGAACAGATTGCATCGATGGCTGTCAGCAATATAGCCTGCAGGGCCTGAGCACAGGCCCAGTGCTCACCTCCTGACTTGCTCCTCCCCATATTTCCAGATCCACCCCTAGCTGGACCCTTGGGTAAGACCCAGGTTGGCCTGTGTTTCCTGAGCCCAGCCCTGGCTGGGAGGTCAAGTAATTTTATGCTTCTAGACAGCTGTCTTTGTAAGTGTCTACTCAGCCTAGTAAGGAATAAATAAGCAAGTTTCCTTGACTAGTGCTAACTCTCATCTAAAATGTGCAGGCCCCATGTAATTTGAGGTGGTGGGAAGCAGTGAGAAAGCCTAGATTTGGCGTAATGCTAGACAATCCATAAATTATCTGAACCCTAGGGTCCTCTTATGCATCCTTAGAGGATGCAAATCCCTACCTTATAGGATTAAATGAGAAATCCTATGTATGTTACTGCAAGTGTAAAGGAATAACCATCATTATCAATTACTATCCTTCCATGACGGTTTTGCTTTCTAAAAAAGATCTCATCCCATTGTCTACTTGTGATTTGAACTGTAAACTTACCTAACCACTTCTCCAAAATAATGGGAATTTGCCTTTTAATTCCTGAGGTTGCCAAATTCCAGCTTACCTTTTTCTGGTGGTCCTTGACAACTAGAGCTTTCTGAAGAAAAGAAAATGAAGAAAGTATTAAACACATATAGATTTTTAAAAAGCAAGCTAGGCATGGTGACACACACCTGTAATCCCAGCACTCTGGGAGACTCAGGCAGGAGGATCACAAATTCAAGCCTAGTCTGGGCAACTTATCAATTTATCAAAACCCTGACTCAAAATATATTTTAAAAAGAGGAGTTGAGGGTTGGTGGTAGAGCTGGGGATATAAATCAGTACAAAGGCCCTAGGTTCAATCCCCAGTGCTAAAATAAAAAAAAAAAAATCGTGCCTTTCTCATCCAATAACTAAGAATAAAGAGAGTCAGATAAAACTACCGGTGTCACCAGTTCTCAACAAGTCCAGACTCCCTGAATGATGCAAGGTCCTCAGCTGCTGGCCTCTAGAATTTATGCACAAACTGTAAATTTCAAATTTCCTGCTCTACACGGAGCCCATGTAAGGTGGAGGCTGACTATATTTAAATCCTTGTATGGAGGCAGCAGGAATAACATGAGTTCTGGAAATTGGAAGACCTGCCAGAAATCCTAGCTGTCCTCTGCAGTGGAGTTACTTTTAGCAGAGACTTCACAGCATTCAGAGCTTCCATTCCCCACCCCGAGGGGTATGATAACTGCCTTCTTTTTAAAATGACTGTGAAGATTCTACATGATAGAGTCCAGAATACTGATAATGGGAGACATTCAGTAAAGGAGATTCACAGTAAGTACAGGGCTGTGATGTTCCCATATCCACTCTCCATAGCCCAGAAGAAGGAAAACAGAGGGTGCTGTCTTGCACTTACCGTAGTTTTCTGCCATAACAGGCACCAGACCACACTGGCCGGCTATGTAGACAAATCCGCCATCCAAGCTCATAGCATCTGCTTCCCCACTCTGCAGACACAGCAAATCACAGCAGTTGAAAAGATGCTACTTCCTACTCATCTGCCCTCCTAGCTGACTCTTTGAAGAGCTTTCCCAGAACAAGTTCTGAATAGCAGGGAAACAGCAAGAAATGGTACAGAACCCCTAAAGGATCAGTCAGGCACACCTATCAGAAAATAAAATGTATTCTCATTTTCAGCAAACCATCATCATTATCATGAACTGATGATCAATTTTAGGTGACCCACTTTCAATCTTCCTGTCTTCTTATAGAGATAGTCCTGCCACACCTATCTGGACCCATGAATTCTCATCTGTGAAATGGAGTAGAGTCGAGGACATGGGGCTGTTTCTGTGGATAGAACACCTCCTCACAGGGCTCCAGCCCCTCAGCTTAGCCTCTCTGGCTATGTGCTATTTCAGTACTTGGTACATACAAGAGTTTTACAAATGAGTCAAATATTCACAAATGGTCCGGTACTCAGGGATAATAAACTGGATTTCACAAATGCTTAGAATCAACAAGATTTTCAAGACTTCCCTTGGACCTGCAATATACTTTCTATGAATACACCATAAAGGAATAGTCAGATGTGTATGTGGGCAACTATTTGGGTAAAAAATATGAATAGGAAAAATCAGAAATGTGATTTATAAAAGCAAAAGGAGAAACAAACTATGTACAGTGACAGAAAAATGACCAAGTAATGGCTGCACATCTACACTATGGAATAGATATTGACATTAAAATATCATGTTTTGCTTTTTCTTTAAAACATAAGCATGTGTATATATATTTCCCTCAAATGCATAACAGACTAATTACACAGCAACGAATCTCTTCAAGAGTGATTTGATTCTGCTGGAGGTATAGCTTAGTGGTAGGGCACTTACTATGTACATGGGACTGGCTTTAACACCAGCACAAAAAACAAAGAAAAAAAGAAAAAGGAAAAACCCAATGATTTGATTCATAAGCATCTGAAATTTATAGAAGTTCACATCGGTACCCTTTCATTTTAATACTGTAAGCTAAAAGCCCTACCCTGCAACCAATTCATGTTTCTAACTTCTCCTTCTACACATTCAAACCTTAAAAATTGCAAACTGAACATATAAATCATGTTTGAAAACTTGAAACTTTAAAATACTGCTTCCCCAGTATGATTCAGAAACATCTGCATCCTGACAATACAGTCAAAAGTAGTAAACTGTAGGAAGACAAAATGAAAGAAGGGGAGGACATAAACTTACTATCTTAATATTTTACTAATTCTGTCAGTTAAAAGTAGAGATGTCCTTAAAAGGTAGAATAGGTAATGTGAAATAGGAAGAAAAGGGGCACAGGGAAAGGGGAAGTGGGAGGGGTAGGGGAAAGGAAAGAAGGGAATGGAGTTAATATGAGAAAAGGAAAAAAGGCAAACAAAGTCTTTGTAACTAGGGAGGGATGGAGGGGTTGAAGGGAGGGCAGGGGAAGGGGGGAGAATAAGAACCAAGAGAGACTATGTAAAGGTGCATGTCTCCAATGATGAATGTCATTATATTGTATACCTAAAATGTACCAATAAAATAATATTTTTTTTAAAAAGTAGAGATGTCCTCAGAAATAGCAGCTTGGGCTTAAGGTGAGGAATAGAGTGAGGCTCACAGTTTGAGAATGCATTTGGAAGTATTTTCCTATTTGATTTGAGTTTGCCCTAGCAAGCTGATGCTGAGAGAAAAACATTATTTTGTTCCATACATTTGCTCAGTGTTTCTGAGTGTCTCCTCCTGGAAATGTGTTGTAAGCTCTCTGTATTCAGCACCAACTCTTCTTTCACCAAACTAGTTTCAGGGTTCTCAGGTCAGGGGTCAAATTAATTTTTAATGGCATTTTAAACTGTCTAGACTTGCTGAAATAGCAGCTCCAGAGAGCAACTACGTACCTTGTTTTCCAACTATTATCTCTTCCCAAGTTCCTTTAAGTCCTCTCTTTTGAGGTATTTCTTTTAATTTGTTTTGATTTGGCACAACAGATCTAATGACATAAGAATGATATCTGAACTAGTATGGTCACACGCACCTATAATCCTAGCACTTTGAGAGGCTGAGACAGGGAGATCACAAGTTTGAGCCCAGACTAGGGAACTCAGTGACTTAGAGAGACCCTGTCCCAAAGCGAAAATAAAAAGGGCTTGGGATATAGCTCAGTGTAAAGGCTCTGGGTTCAGTACCACATAAAAAGGACAATATCTGTGCATATTCACAAATGTCATCTATTAGTGAGAGATTCAAAGCTCCCTCTACTTTCCCAAGAAAAACATACTTTCCTGCTTATGCATTTTTTATCAAAGTCCTTTTCATGATCAAAATTATTTAAATGACCATCAAATTCCCCAACATTTCTAGTCCAGAGCCACTTCTATCTGTTTTCATCTTCAAAGAAATCCACTTCTGTCTGTGCTTCATTGTTACAGTATCTTAAGGTTGCATTTTGGCCTCCCACAAGAATTTCACCCTTGGCTGTGGTTTATTGGTGTTACAGTTTCTACCTTTTTCCAGTTTCTTAATTTCATTTCACAGAAACTAATGGGGCTCCCCCTCCTGCCAGTATTGCAATTCCACACTTCTGTCATTGCTCAGCCACCACAGATTCAATGAATCCACACCCCAGACCAATGGGAATTCAAAACCATTCATATTCATGGTTGCAGAAAGTGGAGACTCAGGTTTTGAGTTGGTAGGCTTTGCTTTAATTTGGTTTTATTTTTCCTGTATTGACTGGGACAAAAATAAAGTGAAATATATGTTTAGAATAGTATAAAATAATATTCGAAATGTATGAAATATAAAATAACAAAATTGATTATCTTATATTTTGCTTCATAATAGATGGTTTTGAAAATATATGGTTATGCATAAGTGCTGAAAAGTTAGAATTGATAGATTTCAGAGAAAATCTGATACTGGCAGGTAGTTCTAGTGCCTGCAATGTGCCTTTGTTTTAATTTATGGTTTATTATGAAGAGTCCAACTCAAGAACAGCCAAAGAGAAGAGATGCTTAGGGCAAAGACTGTGGGGAGAAGAGGATTCAGATCTTGGAGCTTCTGGACCCCTTCTAGTCACACTACCCACCAGCAGCCACCAACACAGAAGCTCCAAGTCAGGTTTTTAAAGAATGATGGGGGGCCAGGGATTTAGCTCAGTGGTTCCACTGCCTGCCTCACAAGCTCAAGGACCCAAGTTCAATCCCTGGTACCAAAAAACAAAACAAAAAAAAGAATGATGGGGAAAGTCCCCTAGATATCAGGTGGTAAGAAGTGGTAAACAACCTCTATGATATGATCCCACTAAGAGGTTTTTCTCTTAGTTACATAAGTATAAGTAGTACTTTTGATTTTCTTCTTTCTATCAATCAGGATTTTCAAAATTCTCTACAAGCAAACATGGAATGCCCTCTTGATCAACAAAGCAAATTTGTACCTGCCTGCAAAATCAAAACAGAATCCTACTGCACTCATCATGGTACCCTCAAGGGGCTTAGAGCATCTACACTCTGGCCCAGCTCCCTAAGCAGAACATGGGTCAGATTCCCCTGTCAGAGTACACTAATATGAGGAGGAAACTCTAAGGTTCTGAAGCTCCTCTGCCACTGTGCTCATTCATTTAGAACAAGGACCTTGGAAACCAGGGTGTCTGCATCACTTCCAGGAACAGGCACTTGCTCAGATTAGCAGAGGGAAAGCAGAGAACAATGGCAGAGAGGCTGCCCTAAGGAGGCAGAAGTGACATACCATGATCTTGGCAATGCAATCTTCCGTGGTCTCTGCTGATTCACACTCTATTTTTCCATCACTCTTAACGCTCCACTCATCACACTTGTGCCTCTCATGGTGGCTCAGTGCACACCACTTCAGTGTCTTTGCTTCTTCCTGTGAGCTTTCTGGGCCTGTGGCACAAGAAAAAGAACCAGAGGTCAGAAGAAAGGCCTGTGGTGTCCTCTGGTGTTTATCAAGGCTACTAACTGCCTTCATGCATGCACAATAGAATTTGTCAGCAAAAAACAAACAGATCCCATTCAGAGAATTCATCATCCTTGAAAGCAAAGTTAACACACAGTCTCTTTGTTTCTGTTATGGCTTGTATCTAGATGTCACCCCAAAGCCTCATGTGGTCATAGGTAGGGGGTTTCAGAGGTAGCTGGATCTGGGGTGTGTGATGCGGGGATTAACTCATACTGAAATGCTAGGATTAAGGGTATGAATAATGCCTGCCCTAGGCAGGTATCCTGGATAAAATATAAGAGACAGAAAGAAGGGTGGAGTGATCATTGCTTGTTGCTTGCTGCTTTTGCTGTCTTCTGCCTACCATAAACTGTTTTTCCTTTGTGGTGCCTCTCTGCTATACCACTCTGCCTTGGAGCCAGATGACTATGGACTGAAACCTCTACAAGCTATGAGCCAAAACAAAGCTTTCCTCTTTTTAGCTTTGGGTGTTGGGTATTTTGACTCAGCAATGAGAAAAATAACTAAGACAGTTTCATTTCATTTAGATTTAACTTTTTTCTTCAGAGAAGTACAACTCTCTTCTCCAACTTCTGGGTATTCTATGGTTTCTGGCTGATATTTTCATTCTTCTTTTTTCAAATAATACTTAACCACATGATATGTCCATATTTCTGTGTCCATTTATAGCATCATTTTGCTACAGGAGAACATGAGTTCCAACAGGGCCATGCCTGTCCTGTCCACCAGAGCACCTCTGTTTAAGTGGTGTTAGCACATGGTCAATGTAATTAATGTCTGAGGAATAAGTGAACACCTGCTCCTCATACAAACCCAGTCCCGAGTCACTTCCTCAGGGCAGCCTTACCTCAACCTCCAGGCCAGGGCCTGTTTTTCTTTGCTTTGCACTTTCATAGGACCATGTTTTTGTGTTGTTTTTATTGTTTCCATTCTAAGCGGATCTCTCATTTGATAATTGATGACTCAGTAGTATGACTATTCATCGAATATTTGTCTTCTCCCTGGTCTGAAAGTTCCAGGATGGCAAAATCTAGTATATGTTTGTATGTTCAGCTCTGGGCAGAGTTTATGGCTAGATGTTCAACATATGTCCACTGAATGAACTAATGAGCAAAAAAAAAAAAAAAAAAAAACCCAGTGACCCAATAAAACTGAGGCTTGGGAGTGACCTTTCTAGAACTCCAGCTTCACCATGGCCCATGTTGATCATCGCATAAGCTAGAGATGTGCAATCTTTAGACACATCTTTTTATTTTACTTATTTTGTGCCAGCCTAATTTGGCTTCACAAAGTAGAAGGACAATCCTGATTTATGCAAGGAAAATGATGTGAGCACCAACCCAAATCACTGAAAATATTAGTTTCCTTAAAAGCCTTTGTGATGTCTAGGCCATCTAATTAAGACTACTGCCACTTAGCATCAGTCTAACACTGAGTTCATGGGCAGGGCTGAAAAAAGGACACCAGGAGAGGCCTTCAAGTCCCTGTACAAACTGGATCACTGATCCTTGCCCTTGTCAGTTTCCCCAGCCCCCGAGGTCACCTGGACCTTCCTGAGTACTTACATATGCCTTCCCGTAGATTCCGAATAGCAGTGATGTACGGATAGCCCAGATACAGCCTATAGTCCATCCTGGGGGGAATCCTTAAAAACCCTTGTGCAGAGTCTTTAAACAGCAGATCCTTCCCATGAGAAGAGCTGAACAAGTGGAATTCTTTTGATTTGTCTCTGCCAAAATGTTCCTATTCACAGTAAAATGGAAGAATCAATGGCAACAGTGAGCAAGAGAGGCTGAAAAATGGAACTGAAGAGAAAACAAGAACCCCCCCCCAAAAAAACAAAGTGAAAAACTATGAGAAACTTCAAAATGCCAGGAGCGAAAGCAGGCAGAGGGCAGTCATGATGTCCTCCACGTGGCACCTTCTCTGTTCAGTATCTTCTCAGGATCACATCACACCCCTTTCCCTGAGTGAATTTCTGGGCTTGCCTCCCTGAATGGCTAAGAGGCTACTGAGAACAAGAAATATGTTTCATCCAGAGGCTGGCATTTTATGGTTGTTGCTTCAGCCCTCAACAGGTGGACGGGGTAGGGGTGGGGCTGGATGAGGGGAAGTTAGCTCAGTGCCACATCCCTCCACTGTAGGGGTTGGCAGTAGAAGTGGCTCCCTCTGCAGTCAGGGTGTGAGACCCTGGGAGGGAGGTCGTTCCCCTTGGTGGGAGGAATGTCATGGGTGTCTTCATAGAAGTGATGATGTTTCCCCTGGGCCATGAAGGCCTGGTTCACATGGAAAGGAATGAAATAACGCAAAAGGAGACATCACTGGTCAACAAGGTACAAGGTGATAGATGGTACTACCAGAGGAGGCTCCTTATTGCTCTGGGAGGAGTCTCAGCAGGGGCTTCTGGAATGGTCAGTGATGTTTGCCAAGATTCCCACTGTGTCCTGAACATACAAGGATACCCAGAGTGGCCAGAAGGCAAAGAAGAAAACCCCTAAATCCAAGCAGAAGAGGAGAACAGCAGGTGGGGATACCTGGGCCTGGCTGAGGAGCTCCCAGATCAAGTCCTCCTTGCCATCCACACTCCGAGCTACGACAGCATGAGAGGGGACCTTGGCCAGATAGCACTGCGCATACTCATCCACTGGCCTCCGGGTGTTGTCCGGGCAGAGCAGCTCATATTGGTCCCTGTCAGCCTTCTGAGGCAGGACCTCTGGGGAGGGAAAGTCCAGATGAGGAGACTACACACAGAGCCATGAGCTATGGTGTCCCCTCCCCACCTTTGCAATCCTGTTGATCACAGGAGAGGCCTGCAGTGATCACTGAGTGTCAGGGAACATGCAGGAAAGTGATTCTGCAGCCAGATGAAAGCACCGAGGCTTCCAATGCCAAGTGCATCAATGACTGCCCAACATCCATGAGTGCTATCTCAGCAGGATGACTGACAGCCAATGTGAGCCAGACCAGCCTCTAATCCTTTGCCTCTGAGGCAGAGGCATTGTGTGGTGAGGTTGAGTGATAAAAAGAGGCCCACAAGGACCTACCTCTGTACAGGCAAAAACTCAAGCAATAATAGGCCCTGTATCCTTGTGTCTTCTACTGAACATGAAAAGCAGGGAAATTAAGAGAAAAAAAAAAGAATGCCCACTACTTAGGGGAGACCTGCCAGACTCTTCCCCCATCACTTACCAAATATGGTTAAGTGCTTGACGAAGGCCACATCCCCACCACCATCCTTGAGACATCTGTGCAAAAGGAACACATTAGGAGAGCTCCTGCAGAGCAGATACTTTCTTGGACCTGGAGGTCCTGATTACACAGTCCAGCCCCTGGACAAGGGCAGAGGCTTGGGGAGGCCTGTGGAGCACTGTGGGGTGCTGACATCCAGGGCACCACTTTGAGGGCATCACATAGGAGACAGAGGTGCTCAAGTTTATACTCCAAAGAGCAAAAAGAAATCGAAGGTATTTTAATGTAAAAGAGTCTTTAAATTGCTGCTATAGAAGATACTGTAATGGTGTTTCCTCTCCTGAGGGTAGAAATGTGCCACTGACTGGCTATAAAACTTTAACCACAGTAAAAAGAAGGCACGAGAATGCAGCCACAGGAGCAATCTGGAGAGAGGCAGTGAGGGGAGGCAGAGAGGGGCCAATGCATTGAGCATGTTACAAGGCTGTGATAGTGAGAGGGTCCATCACTGAACAGCCCAGGCCCTAGGGACGTGCCTAGGTTTTCAGACTGCCCAGTCCAGTGTTAGGAGACAATGGTCAAGCTTGAGGGCTCTGAAGAGAGAAAAAGGGTCCCCAGAGAGGGGCTTGATCATCAGGGTCAGATAGAGCCAACACAGGCTGGCCTGGTGTCGGGAGTCCCAGGTTGTACCACTGACTTTCCAGGAATGGATCAGGCCTCCTTGCTGCCCCTGTCAGCAGGCAAGGCTCTGCTCAGGGCCAGAAAAAAGACTCCCACCCTGAGGACATTTAGCACTTCAACCACCATGGAGCAGCAGACACTCTTACTCACTTGAAGGCACCTGCATAGCCGAAATATGGCTGAAGGGAGGAGCAACCACATCCTGGACACAGTTGACACAGTTGAGGGAAGGCCGCCCCATCTGCACAGGGGACACAGCTGCCCGAGAAGAAACTGGCCACTGCTGCTCAACACAAAGAAATGGACCAGAGGATGTGAGCAGGACTAGCTACACCTAGTACTATTTCCCAGCCCAATCTCATTAAGGAACAGAAGGGGATTAAAGTAAAACCAGCAAACCAGTCCCAGGTCAGTCTTACTTGCGCTAGCTCATCAAGATCCAGGGTTTTCAAACAGGAACAAATTAACCCCCATTCCACTACCACCCAGTCGAGGAAACAGATCTATGCTTTCCACCAGCCAAGGCTTATCTCAGGCCTTTATCAGCAAACTACCCCCTACCCACCCAGCTTGTGTTGTCAGTGCCTGAGACAGCTCAGAGAGGTCCCCTCTGGGACCCATGCCCTGGAGACGGGAGAACCATCTACAGGTTGCAGGCCAGCCCCATGGCCAGCAGATGGCCACTGAAGCGATCTCTAGTACCATGAGACACACACATCACAGGCAGAAACTCTAGGGAAATAGCCCGGGCCCCATGACCATAGTCCAGCTGGACCCTCTGCTGGCCTTTCTGCCTTTTTCTCCTCTCCCGGGGATGGCCTCTGCTGAGGTGGGGGGACTCAGCAGAAAAGGCTGCCGCCTCCCACCTCCCAGATGTACCAGCCCTCACCCAAGGGCAACTGGTGCCATGGCCTGCCAGTTTCAAGCTGGTTAACTCCCTCTCCTATCCCAGAGTTCACCTGACATGTCCAGCTAATCTTAGCTGTGTGACCCCAGCATGGCTCATGTGGCCATCTAGAGCAGTGATTCCAGCTTACCTTTTTCAAGGGGTTTACGTGGCTCAGGTAAGTCACAAAAAAGTAAGCCGATGGGGATGTTCCACCCAGCAGACCTGCCAAGGCCAGTGTGGCAGGACTTCTTGCCTTGGAGCTGGCTCAGCTGGAAGTTGGTGTCCTTCTTCACCACGGCAACAGCAAAATAGAAGGTCTGTGGATCTGCAGAGGGACAGTGTGAGTGGAAGTGCCTACACAGAGATGTCTGCACAGAGAAACATTGTCCATTACTACTGGGCTCTGGAGGAGGGAACGGGCCCCAGAGGCCACTTGTATTGGATCGGAGGAATCAGAAACAGCTTCCTAGGCTTGCAGGGAAAATAAAAGGTGAAGGTACATTTGTAATGTACCTTGTCCAAGGCAAACACGGGGACAAGAGGGCCACATGCAGATGTGTGTGCCCAATGCTTTGCTTGCCCTGACCCTTTAGTGTGTTTGCCTACACATATCACCCAAGACCATCAGGAAACTGGAGCCGTGGCCCCAGAATCTGACATTCTCCACCTCCCTCAATGGGTTTTCTGAACCCTAGAGCAGGCCCAGGGATAGCCAGATTGACTTCAGAAGGTTTCCTGGGTTGTCAGGGTCCCATTGTGTGCTCCAGAGTGGATTCTCTCTTGCACATGGCATCTGTGGTTCGAGGGAACCTTCAGGAACCCTAGACACATCCCTAGATCCAATGGCAGCTCAAAGGCCATGTAGGCCTTGACTTGTGCCTTCACCCAAAGACGAGGGGTATTAGTGTCTAACATCTAATACCTGCTTGCAAAACACAAGCCTCAGTGTCTAATAGAAGATAAGATCTACAAGCCCTTCCTAGGTGTTCAGGGAGGACTTACTCTCTTGTGACCCATAGAACTCTGCCACTACAGGCTTCAGGTTGTTGGGAGCCAGGCCTGCCTCGTGCACCAAACCTGCATCTACTGTAACAGCGTCTGCTTCACTTGCCTGAAAGAGAGCAGACCAGATTTCAAGGAAGCCCTCATGTCTGAGGAAGGCCCACCTGAACTCAGACCAGTAGGGAATGACTATCAAGGCTCCATGGGTTTAAGGCTAAAAGAACCCTCAATTTGGCCACACCACACACAACACTGTTGGCTCCAGTTGACTCTTCCTTGAAAGGGCACTTGGCCAACATATTCCTACCGCTCCTACATAGAGGAAGGGATAGAATATTTTTCTCTTTTCCCTGGTTAGGGGTCCAGCCCCTGGCCCAAACTCCTATGTGGATTTGTGCTAGGTGATTGCAAAGGCTTGGGGGAGCCGCCTGCCCCATTCCACACCTGGGCACAGCCAGGGCATTGCAGTGGCTGACGGGAATTGCAGCTAAGGGCTCTTATACCTCTTTTCATTCCCAGCCCGATCTGCATTCAGAGACTCCCTTTATGTTGAGACTTTCTGTGAAGTCTTCCTCAGGTGAGGAGCTTTTTCTGGGGGAAGATGGAAACCTTGAAGCCTCTTGTCTCCACCCTGACTCAATACACAATACTTTTCCTTCCTGTCCTGAGCCCCTACCACTGCAGGAGCCTTTTATTCAGAGCTTTCTCTGAGTTTAGCTTCTTGATTATACTATGTGCTAAGTGACAAAAGCCTGGATTATTGCTTCCATTTTTGTCACAGCTGCTTGCTGTGACACCAAGAAGCTCACCTCTCTCCATCTCAGCTCCATTTTACAAGGGACAAAACTGTGGCAAGCAAAGGTTTAATTCACTTTCTTAGGCCACGTAGCTAGTAAGTTGGGGAACTAAGATTTGAGTTCAGGCAGCCTGGGTTTATTATCATTACTTTGGGAGTTTTGTTTGTTTATTTTACATTGTGCTTCTATGAAACCTCATTTTTAAATCAATAAATCACTTGAAGTATTATAGCTGCCTTCCTATTAAGTGTATAGTTTATTTTCTCTTTGCTTGAACTCTTAAAGTGAGCCAAACTAACGTGTACAGACTCTCAAGAATGTATTTTTTTACTCCTTTTAATTTTTGCTTCTTTAAACAAAATGATTTTTCTAGAAGCCCTTGCCAGTTCTATTAACAGCTCTTATTGATCAAATTATGAGGTAAAACTATAGCTCTTTGATCTTTGTCATGTTATAGGGAAATATATATA